GCCCTTCACCTCCACCCTCCTCACTGGGATGCTTTCTCTGCTGCCTCCTGCTATACCTCCTGGCAGCCGCTAATGTCCACATCTCTCCTACGCTGCCCTTTATCGTGTTACTTCTTTGACTTCTGCCATGCTTTCTTGTTTTTATTCTGTCATCTCCAGCTTGTTATACCCGTAGTGACTGCTCTGCCTCTGAGTGCGCTGCCTTTCCTGCTGCTTTGGACTGAGTTAGCATAGCACTGCAACACCTTTGATTTTCAAGCACTCTACATCTAAGCCTGCTTGGCTGCCTGAGCACTTTTCAAGCACTCTTGCACAGTGGACTTAAGCACTATCCATCGCTCAGTCTCTTATCAACTACCACCAGCAGCCGGCAACAGAGAACAGCTTTGTAACTATTCCCTAACCGGGTAGGAGACTGGTCAAGGAGCTGAGAAGCTGAACACAAACAAGCCCAGTTGCAGACAGGATCCCCCTGAAAAGATACACAGACAAGTGGAAACTGCAAGAAGGCCAAATTTTGCCTCTGGATGTCTCCAGAGACAAGATCATCTTGACAGTTTCAGCTTTTTATTAGGGCGAATGAAAATATGAATGTAGGTGCCAAGGCTTACCTGCTGGTTTGGAAGTTCTGATCCAGACCTTCACAAAATAAGTTAGAGTAGAGAACTAGAGCTGGCAAAAGACAGACCTAAGGATTTATTTGCTATTTTAATAGAAGATGAGCAAGCAAACTATTCCTACTGAGCCGAAAACCACAATCCTTGGGATTATTTCTGCCACATGTATTTAAACCACAATGAAACAAGAGTAAAAATTGGAATCAGAGTCCCTTCATTTTAGAGAAGTCTTGGAATGTGCCTATATCTGACTGTTGCACGTCAGCAAAAACTTCTGATATATCATTGGCATCTAAGATATTTTCACAGAGGAAAGCATTAACAATGACTACCTCACCAGTACACTCAACAGAGCTGTTCCCAAGGAAAAAGTGAACCCATCTTGGAGCAAGCTACCCATATAACATATATAGTCACTATAACAGCTGCCCCTTGATGTCACATTTGGTGTCTTTGAATGTAATCTAGATAGGAAATCAAAAAACATAAATTAGTAGGGGATCACATTTTAAAATACTTCTTCTCAGTATCTCTCAGCCTGGCCTTCCAGCAGCCAAACAGCCTTACTAAACTTCATCTGAACTTCTTCATCTGAAGAAAATTTCCCAAACACCAATATATCTGAAGTGATGAAGGCAAAAATTGCAATATATCTCTACAGCTCTCACAAAAAGCTTATTCTATAACAGAACCATGAAAACCAGTGCATCCTCAGCATATCCATCACAGAATGCAAACTACTTCCTGTGTCCCACGCACCCTCAGTGTAGCACAGTGAACTCACTCTGGCGATCAGTATGTGGAAGAACACGATTATTAACAAGAGGATGTTTCACAGAACAGCCACTCTCCCACTGCTTGCTCAAACCTTATCCTCAAGGGCATCCTACAAAATACCTCCAAAACCAAGGCTCGGAATTAAAATCCATAATTTGACTGCATAACAGAAACCATCGATTCCAACAAACATGCTAGTTTTATGGTACATTGCAATTTACCTCAAACAATACTTGCTAATTTCAGTTTTTCAGGAGATAATTACCTGTGTATTTCTTCCACTCTGTGTTCAGTAGAACTGAAAACCTTATTACCACTCCTATTAACATCCCCTCCGTTCCTTTCGTCTCAAAGTACTTGACTGATTAATATAATGAAATCAGATTCAGATAAATGGCTTCCAATCTTTGCTTACCTGGCAGCTTTCTAACCCTGCTTATGCTTTTTGCCCCTCAAACTTGTCTACTTTTTCCTAACAGCTGGACTAATAGCAGATGCTGCCTGTCTCCACAGACCTTCCTTCTGAATGCTATAATAGTCCTCTGCTTACCAAAGAGGCTGCCCACCTAGCCTTCACTTTGGGAATATCAAGTACGGTTCCAGTTATGGCTCCAGTTCTGACTCTCAGATTCTTTTTTGAATAGTTATATGGCTCTCAGTCTGGCACTACCCAAGATCTCAATGGCTTCAAAGAGATATTTGGCTTTGATTTGGATTATGCAAAGAACGGGAGCACAGCTTAAACTGGCCAAACCTCAGTCACTACTTCTAATAGGAAAGGAAGCATCATTAACTCAGATCTTTCTAAAACGAAAGTGCAATATGACATGGGTAGATTCAGGAATCTTTTGTTTAACAGAGGGGACAATTATGCACCACTCTATCCAGTCAGAGATGACAATTTCAATTGTCACTTCTCTCTCATAGTTGCAAGGTATTATACTACTCTTTGGCAATGCTCTTTCTGTTGCTGTAATATATTATTTGCTTCTCCTTGTTACCCATGGAGCTCAAAAAATCATGACTTTCACTTCCCTGCAACCAAATTCAATAACAAAGCTATAACAGCTTGGGAAAGCTTAACCAGTATCTTAAGAAGGAACTAACTCAGTATAATTTTGCCTAGAAAATCTGTGTGTGTAATCCCACATGAATTAAAATATATAGACCCATATAATAGCCTACTGAGTTTTAGGAAATATTAAATATGCCACTATACAAAGCCCGAAAGAAGAAGATGTTTCTGAGGTGACACGCAAATCTACCACTGTCTGCCAAATACCATACACTTTCTTTGGCTTGCAGGAGTAGAAGGTATTGTACCGGTCACATGCAATGAAGTGCTTGATATACCTTTGCAATTCATTCTTTGAAAACAAATACTTAATTTTCAGATCCAGACTGCTCTGGATCTGTTCTATACCCTTCTCCTGTTTGCCGAAATACACTTGGACAAATTTCAAGACAGGATTAAGGAAGAGATTTTAAAGCTTACATTCCTCATCTTGTGAAATGAGGAGTTATCTCCGACCCTGACCACATGCGGTATGTACCAGTTTCCCTCAGCATACTCCAGAGATCTCCAACCTTAGCATTATTGTGTACAGAGTAAATGTTTACCCCATATGCGTCTGTCACCATGGAAAAGCTTGGGGAAGTTATGGAAAGGAATTTCTGCACGTCCAAAGGAAAACCAAGCCCCCACATCTCTTCTTGCTATTCAGATACAAACGAGGAATTTGCTTCCAACAAGCAGTTTAATCAGTAGAGTCTGCTATGGAGTACGGAGACAGCTCTCAGCACTGATATATAGAAACTACTGCTAGCAAAGTGTACACTTCTGGTAAAAGCAAAATATTTTCTAAGGATTAGCGTTTTAGGCTTTCCTTAGGAAGGTGTGTAAGCAATGGGCACTGAAGTACTGGCCCCAGTGCGGACTCCTAAAAGCTTGAATCTGCAATGTATCAATCATATTTTGCAAGAAATCATATTTCATCCTCTTCTCCCTATTTCACTGAACCATTGCAATGAAATTTTCTGAAAGAAATCACGATGTTTACAGAGTAGTTAAACAGCTCCTAGCATTTACATGTCAGTGCTTTATTATGCTTCTATCACCAGCCCTGAGGCTTGTACCCCATATAACTTCTTCCAGGTAATTAGGCTGATACCTTCTGACTTGACCAGCTGGTTCTGAAGTCTCAGACCTCACTATAACGTCTTTCCGCACTATTGTGAATTTGTAAGATCCAGACACCAACCTTTGGGAGTGCCAGAACACAGAAATTTAACAGATTAGCAGCTACCCTCACTTCTCATCTGCAAGTGGATAACGCTAAAGTAGAACCAATGAACAGATGCAGGGGAGGAAAAAAGATGAAGTGTGAAAATAGTCTTAGATATGGATGCCCAGCTGCTATACGATGAGGAGCAGCTTCTGCCCTTCACAGAGGGCCTGGCAGGCAACAGCATCTCTTGTTGATTTGTTCAGCTTTTTTCAAAATCTAACGTAGGCGGGGACGTTACATTCAATAGAGGGTTATTGCCTTTTCATCTTCCTCTGCACGTAACCCTGACGTGCAGACAAGGTGCCAGCTCCGTACACCTGTTAAACCTCGAGCTCGGCAGGTTGACCTGGAGAAGCATCACACCCCTTCCCACAGACAGAAGGGGCGTTAGCCGGAAAAGACGCGGATTGCGGCAAGGAGGCGGAAAGCGCAGGAGGGAACAAATCAGGCCCCCTGCTTCTCTCCCCAGAGGCCACCCGGCCGCCCCCGAGGAGCACCTTACCTTCTCGTTCTTCCTCTCCTCCGCCTTGGCGGCGGGGCC